CAGGAATGAATTATTGACTGTGCGTCTGAATGCAAACACTGTGCAGTTACATGGTTTAGTCAACACCGCCGTGAGCTTATTATAAATCCACCATGTTTACAGTGTAAGGATTCTTAGCCATAGTCAGAGGTTCTCAAAGTAAGGAGTCCACCCTAAGGGTAGGCCATCAGTGATTGGAAAAAAAAAAAAGCAACCCAGAGCAAAGACTCACAGCTGGGAAGTTGCACTATTTTGTTTTTTGTTTGTTGTCTTCTTCTCAGTTATAAAACAGTAATTTGTTACAATTACTGTTTTTTTTTTCTATTTTGAAGCAAATGTACCAAATGGTTCAGAGACAGAAGCAGAGACAGAACAACAGTCCTATTAGAGCCTGGTAACCACAGAATTAAGTGAAAATATCTCTGAAAAAATTAATTAAATATTTAAGAAAATATCAAATAGGGTTTTGAATTTTGTCCTCAAAGACACAGGAATATACGGCGTCTTAAGACAATGCAGCTCTTATGAAGTGATGAGTTGAACATTTTTGGTTGTTACTGACGTCATCATATCAGACGTTGGATGTTGTTGGAGGCTCTGTCATGGTTAAGGGCTGCGGTTCTGTGAACATTTAATGTAAACCCTGCAAACTGGAGAACCTGGGGAAAAACCCACACACAAAAAACACAAAAACAAAACAGACAAAGTAACAGGATAATGAATTCACAGTTATCAGTGGTGTAGATAATGTGTTTTATACCAGAGGTCACCAATAGGTGGTGTACCTGAACATGAAACATTTAGAATATTTTGAATGTATGTAAATATACACACACATATTTAACCACAATAGTCGGGGATTTGTGTCGTCATCTTTCAAACACACTCGAATGCAGTAAAGTGTGGGACGCAGGAGGCTTTTCATCAGTGCAGGTGTGTGTACCACCGGAGGTCAGAGTGGTCAGTACGGCTGATTCCACTCAGAATGATAAAGTGAAGGGATGAGACCTGCAGTAGGGTTTAAGCAGATGGGCAACGTGACGAACCGTCCTGCATTATGTATGATGAGTGCCAGTTAGCTTTAGGCTGTTCTGAAACATTTATTTCAGCCGTGCCCACTCACTCCACATGCGCCACTGAGATAAAGACAAAACCACCAGTGAATGTAGTTCAAATCCACCCTCCTACACGTCCTTCTCTTATCACTGTATTTAAAATATCCTTACCCCGGCTCTAGTACAACTTCACCGCCGGCCTCTCCATCTCTCTGAGGGTAAATGCTCTTGATAGATCTGCCCTGACACTCCCATGGTGTCGGCTTTTAATGCCCTCATGAAATATCTATGTCAATCCCAAGTGGGGGAAAAAAAAAGTGTCTATGTCGGAAGCAGCTTCTCAGGTATTACGGTAAAAATACAACCTCTCTCTTGTCATGCAGTGCTGATCAGCCAATCAGATATGTGCAGCTGCGTGTGTAGAGACTCGACTGCCAGTGAGACACATTGGGAGAGAAAGATACTTTTCCCAAATATCTTTCAGCCCAACAGTTGCCAATACTGTAAACACAACCATCTTTTTTTCTTCCGTCTCCTCTGGGCCTCTGAATGTCAATAGACATAGAATATAACTGGGAGACAATCTGATCAGTTTTTTAAAAATAAAACATCTTATGCACTGACAAAATGCAAACAATGTGTTTTTTAATCACCATTCTGCCCAGTAACAAAATGAGACTGGTGACTCTGCCTCCTTACCTACTGTTTTGCTCTGAACCACGACAGCCATCAGCAGACGACACCCTAAGCGACAGCCTACAGTACAGTGTGTGGCCTTCGCTCTACTGTCCTTGGCATACTTCTTCTGAGAAGTGTTGGGCTCCTCTGCATTAAAGAACACATGATACGTTTGTTATTGTTGTGTTGCTGTTGTCGCGCTTTGCAAAATATCTTCAACAACAGACATGGACTTTTGTAACAAAACAAAAATATTCAGAGTAACAGAATTTATTTTGGACTGTCATGTCAACGTAAAGAAAGGGGAAAAAACATTTCTGTTTAATTCACATTGTTGTCATGTATTATGGTATGTCATACTGCAGTAATATTTCGTCCAAAACTATACCCATGGGGATACAGGACAAACCTGTTCTGTGTTCTGTGCTGTTTAATGTGCTGCTGTGGAGTCAAAACATAAAAATAAAACATCATTAATACACTATGAACTACACCTGTTCTTTTTTTTTTATTTCTATGTACAAATCTGCACACACACACCCACACACACACACACACGTCCAAACAGAAATACATCACAAATGTAAATATAAGTGAGTCACTGCATCTGATTAACATTATTTGTCTTTTTTATCATATAAAACATGAAAGATATAATTCTCCAAGCTTTTCATTTTTGTTGTGTCCTTTGGATGAAATCCTGCTGTAAAAAAAAAAAAAAAAGGAACACGATGCTCATTTCTCCTTAGTTCTCATGACGACAGCCAGTTCCGGTCCATGGTTAGCAGTTTTTGTTTATTTATTTATGCATTTATTTATTTCCAGTCTTTCAGTCACTCTTTGATCTGTCGGGGTTAACTGTGAAGAGAAAGAAAGAGAGAGAAACAGGGAGAGAAAAAAATGAAATGAGAATCTGAGGACGGTACCACAACAGGGCTTCAAAGTCACGCCCACACAAAATCCACACACTGCACAAAGCACGAGTTAAAAAAAGACATAAACGGCAGACAAACCAGGGAATAATATCCGTCTGTACACTTGAGAAAGATTAAGACATTGTTTTAACATGCCTAGCTGCATGCTAACTGTTTTGATAAACACAAATTATACGCCGTCGTTATCTTACAAAGACAAAAATGCTGCATTATCGAGTCGAGCATAATAATCATTACCATGGAGAAAACTGCACGACATGCGCTATTGTTTCATTGGTTCTGTATGACGACAAGTAACAGATTCCCAGACTTATCTAATATCTAATAAGAAAAGGAATTCGGGTTTTTTTTTTTTTTTACATACTTATGCTAAAAGTTAGCAACAATATACTGCTAAAAGACTAATTGGGTAAGAGCTTGTCAAAATGCTTACAGAGTGATGTCAGGCTACGTCAGTGTTAGCTTGATACTAGCTACAAATAGAAAAGATTTATAACAAAAATAACTAAACAATAATAGTTAATCAAATACTAAAAGTTACCGTTACAATGAATTCAAACTGATCAGAAAGATACTGGAGGTCTGCTGTCGTTAGTTTACACACAACTGGCTTCAGTATATTTATGAAAAACCTATGGATTGGCGATTAAAAACTGGCAGCAATTTTTGAAAACCACACCAAACCATGCTCATGGCTTCGTTTCCAGGAGGTAGAAAACAAACACACAGAGTTCATGCAGAGGTGTGGTTACCCTCTGTCCACACTTTCACTGCTTCAGAAGAACAAATCATCATCATCATCATCATTATCCACATCATCCAACGACCAAGTCCAATCTTTCAGGCCAAAATCAAGCAATCTGGAACAGTAACCAAGTTGGCCAAAAAAAAAAAAAAAAGAGAGAGAGAGTCACCAAAAGCCCACTTTTACCTGCCAAAATATATTGGGGCAGGTTCTGC